GAAGATGAAGAAGAAAAAAAGTCAGCCATGTATTTCATCCAGGGAATAAAAAAAAACGCCACCATCAGCAAACGGTGCATGTTTGAAGCCACGTGGAAGACAGCAACAGTTGTTGCCGTTCGCCAACTTGCCGACCAACGACACGACGACAAGCTGTAGCGGGAAAGGGGAGAGCACCTCACTCTCTTGCGAGTTGAGAGGGTACCACACATACACAAGAGAGTCAAAAGAGAGAGATAGACAGAGACAGAGAGAGTGTGGGTGTGCTGCGCCCATGTCAGCACCACCGCCGCCTCCGTCACGGACGGCGCGAGCCATGGAACGAGCCACTGCTTTGGCAAGGACGTCGGTGGCCGACCCGACGAGCATGATGACCTCCGCCATGTCGACGTCTGCTACTTCTGCATCTACGGGAACGTCTACTTCTGTTGTCCTTGGTGGTGATGGCTCTGGGCATATGACCGAGCCAAGGAGGCAGCCAGCCGCTCTTGATGCTGCTGCGACGGTAGAGTCGGACGAATCGCCGGCTGCAAGCCAACAGACATGCCCAGTCGATGAGCCGGTCGGTCATCTTGTGCTACCAGGCGGGAACAGTGTCGAGTCGATGAACACGTCGTCATCGTCGTCTTATTTGGCGTCATCAAGTTTGAGTGGCCCGCCAACACCCACTGTTCCGGAACAGGCTCCAGCGCGCACCGCCGACAACGACTCGTCGTACTGGACCGTGGAGAGCGCTGACGTCGGTGGGCTGGAGACAGGCGACAATGACGCGAGTGTGGCGGCTGGAGGCGAAATTGATGGTCTGGATGAGCTCGAGTTCTCATGCTCGCCGTTTGTTCCGCACAAGGCGTTGCACACCGCTGAGGCTAATCTCGGCCAAGCTGAGGCTGCGCTCTTCTCCGTCTCGCTTTCGCCGTCGCCGGCAGCACATCCGCAGTCTCGGCTGCAAGGCGAGCCCGAGCTGGAGCTACAGCCGCGCGATTTGTCGCCGCCACCGCTCCCGCCCGGCGACAACGGGTCGTCGCCACCTGCTGCTGCCACTCGTCCGGCGGCAAATGTCGCTGGTGGTGCGTGTGACAACGCCGCTGTAGCATACGGCACCCTCGGTCAGATTGGCACCCTCGGGCCGAACGAGCTGTTTGGCGTCTCGTCGTCGGGTGAGGGCGACGGCGGGCGGGCCGGTACCTTTGGCCGCGGCACCGGTGGCGAGCGGTCGCAAACCCCGTTGGGCTCGGGCGCGTCAGCGGTAGCTCGGGCTGCTATGCTGCGCGGCGGCAGTAGGACACCGGCGGGCCGAACTGGGACCTTTGGCTCGCGCCCGCCCGCAGGCCGGACTGGAACCTTTGGCTCGCGCCCGAATGCCGCGTCGACGGCGGCCACGCCGCTCTCGCCGCAGGACCAGGCCCGCGCTAACGCGCTTGCACGCATTCGTGCAGAGAAGCAAGCCAAGGCGCTATCGCCGGGTGCCTCGCCGGGTGCCTCGCCGGGTGTCTCACCGGGTGCCTCGCCGCCGATCTCGCCACGGCCGACGCCTGTGACGGCTGCTGGAGGGACGCGGCCGGCGCTGACGGCTGCACTGACAGTACTCGAGGACCGCGAGAAAATGCTCAACCAGCTGCAGGCGGTGCACGAGGCACTGGTCCGCGAAAAAGTCTTTGCGCGCGAGATGGAGCTCCTTGTCGACGGCTTTGGGCGGAAGCTCGGCGGGCATGGCATGCTGACGCCCAAGGAGCACATGCTTGTGTTCTCGATGTTTGAGCCGATTCTGGCGTTGGCGCGAAGCCTTGTCGATGTGCTGATGAAGTACAGGTCGTCGCCGGAAGGAGTCGAAGAGTTTGGCGCGCAACTGGCGGCGAACCTGTCGATGGCGTACCGGTCGTACGTGACCTCGCACATCAAGGCGATTGCCACGCTCATGTCGAGGTGTGAGGAGCACGAGACGCTCTCGGCGCGAGTCGAGCACCTCGAGGACTCGCTCGGGGCCTTTCTCGTTATTCTTCTTGTGCGGCCGGTCCAGCACCTGCGGCGGTATCCGCACATGGTGCGAAACCTGATTCGGGCGGGTGGCGACGGGCCAGCCACGGCCGGCCTCCGGACTGCGCTTGACTCTGTCCAGCAGACGCTGGGCGTTTTTGAGGAGTCAATCAAGCGGGCCAATGCGCGGCTGAAGCTCGAGTCGGTGGCCGCGGTCATTGACGCATCTGATGCACTCAATCTCGTCTCGCCGCTGCGTCGCTTTGTTCGCGCCGGCTTTATGCGCAAGTTTAACCGCGGGCGGGCGCAGAAGCGGCACTTTTTCCTTTTCAACGACCTCCTCGTCTACTGCAAGGCCAAGCTCAAGGCCGGCAAATGGGTGTGCCAGGGCTCGATCCCGCTCGCCGAAGCCGTGGTCGCCGACGTGCCGCCGAGCAAGCGGCCGTCGACCCACTTTTACCTCACGCGCATCGGCGGCAAGCGGTACGAGCTCGACGCCGCCTCGTCGCTGGAGAAGAAGCTGTGGATGGATGCGCTCAAGAAGTGCATCAAGGACGCAGAGTCGTCAGTTGTTCAGCAGTACGAGTACGAGACCGGGAGCGGATTCAGCCGTGACGAGTCAACAGGCTCGATCCACGCCGACGCCTCGGCAGCAGCCTCGGGCGCGCCAAACGCCACTGTGGGCACGGGTTCGGCGCCAGTCCTTGTCTCGCCGCGCGGCGGTGATGACGACGACGACGACGAAGTCGATCCCGAGCCCGAGCCCGAGCCTGAGGCTGGACCATTGCCGCTGGTTGGGGAGTTTGCGACTGCTGCGACGACCGCGCCCGACTCGCGTGACCTGGACGCAATGATCCAGGCCGAGGTCGAATTCCAGATGACCAAGCTTGACGCGACCGATGTGCGGACGTGGGCGGCGGTGGATGTAGGTGTGTGGCTCGATCACATCGGATGCGGTGAGTTTTCGGATGCGTTTGTGGAAAAGGGCGTGGACGGGACAGCGCTCGGTGTGCTTGACGAGGATATTGTGCGGCTGCTCGGGGTGGAGGACGAGGCACAGGTTGATGCTATTCTCTCTTACTCGGCATCGATGACCGGGCGGTCTCCTTCGATCCTCAAGCTGACATCATCGCAGTCGCGGTCGTCGCTGATGCTGAAGCTCAAGCATGGACGCAACTCCATGTCGACGTCGGCCGGCGAGGCGGCGCTCCTGCAGCGCAAGATGATGCAGTCGCGGCGGACGTCGGTCATTGACTCGCTTGGCACCGACGAGTTTGGTAAGCTCGACGCGGCACTCGCGGCTGCAGCGGCAGCGGCGGACGAGCCCGCATCGGATGCACCATCGCCAATGCCGTCGTCCCGGGCCGCCGACTCGCCGTTGGCGCGCAACCACCAGGTCCGGCTCTCGTTCGCCTCGCTCGGCAACGTCGGCTCGAGCTCGCTCCGCGAGTCTGAGAACATCATGAAGCAGATCTTTGGCGACGATCTGGTACTGGTCGACCCGTGCGCTGGCTTCTGAGACTACGTGCTCGAACAAGCCGGTGGCGGTGACGTTGATGTGGACCTGGCTAGCAGCTAGCCTCGTTCATTGGCTTACTCGCACTCAGTCACCTCTTCGACGTGCTGGCCGTGGAGGACACGGGCAACAAGCAAGAGTGCAGTGTACCACACGACGATCGGTCGGACAGAGCCGGGGAGCGGGGGGCGAGAGAGGCCGAGCTTGGTACGCAGCTCAGCAAGATGCACGGCAAAGGTATCAGGAACAACATCGTTGCGGCGGGCCTTGGACTCGGCCCACGACGAGGCGAGCAGCATGTCCCACGCCGTGCCCTTGGCGGGAAGATGCGGCTCTGAAGCGCGATGCGGGAACATGACGTTGTCGATAAACAGCAGCCGCGGCATGACAACCTCCTTACGCCCAGCCGTGCCATCCACCAACGGAGCAGCAAGCAGCTCGAGCTCAGCCTGAGTAACATCAAGATACGCCAGGTGTGGACAGCCGTTCAGCAGTGACTTGACTCTCGACATAGAGGCACGAACACGATCATGCAAGCAGCGAGTATCCTCTCCATCACCATCACTGTTCCCATCATCATCGCCATCATCATCATCGTCGTCGTCATAACTGTCATCATCATCGTTCCCACGTGGCGGTGCCTCCCACAGATCGTCCAGCTCGTCGAGCTCGTCAATGTCGCCCATGGCCACAAACTCGTCCATTTGTGCAAGGACCAGGTGGGCAACACGCCCAATGGAGGCCTCGGCGAGGTTGGTTGCTGCCATGTTGAGTGAGTGGAGTGGGTGGGTGGGCGACCGGGGTGCGGTGGCCAAGCGTGGGGCTGCTGATACAAGGCCGATGGCGGGCATTCTGCAGCAGTTGATGCATGTGAGGGAAAGTGGGGAGGGATCAAGGGAGAAAGGGCAATTGCGATGGCTTGCAATCACGCCGGATGGGGGTTATATGACCAGGAAGATCATCATCGGTGCCTGTGCGTGTGTGCGTGTGTGTGTGTGTGTGTGTGTGTGTGTGTGACCGACAAGCGGGTCGTGATGAGGAGAAGATGACCACGATCATGGCCACTAATACCTGATCGATGGTCTGTGGCTGCGTCAGATGGCCACTGTGGGTCCAATCACTGCCTCCTTCTGCCATGGCCACACCATGCCCCTCCTTCCCTCCACGCGTGCGTCCACGACTGTGACCATGCCCATGACCGAGATCACTACCACGATCATGGCCACGAATACCTGATCGATGGTCTGTGGCTGCGTCAGATGGTCACTGTGGGTCCAATCACTGCCTCCTTCTTCTACCATGGCCACACCATGCCCCTCCCCGGACCTCTCTCCATCCACGCGTGCATGTCTGTCCAACGAGCAACAAGAGAGAGTGGCCACGGACCACCTCCTCCTCCTCCTCCTCCCCCACCCCCCACCACTTGACTGTACACAGCCACAGTTGCCTATGGCAGCAACAACTACACACCCGTCAGAGCAGCCATGGGTGGTCTTTTTGGCTATTGCAGGTAGGTGGTCTGAAGGGGCGGGAGGGGGGGGGGGGGGGGGGGGGGCGGGGGCACCCTTGTTTTTCAATAACCAGAATGGTGTTGTGTGGTGTGGGGGGGGGGGGGGGGGGGGGGGGGGGGGTATGGGCTGGTGGCATGGTGTTGGTATGGACTGGTGCTGATACTGTGGTGGGTGGGTGGGCACGGGCTGGTGGCATCGGTTGGTGCGCATGACTTGATATCGTGGTATGGGCTGATACTGTGGTGGCTGTGGGCTGATGCCATGGTGGCTGTGGACTGATACTGTGGTGGCTGTGGACTGATACTGTGGTGGCTGTGGACTGATACTGTGGTGGCTGTGGACTGATGCCATGGTGGCTGTGGACTGATACTGTGGTGGCTGTGGACTGATACTGTGGTGGCTGTGGGCTGATACTGTGGTGGCTGTGGACTGATACTGTGGTGGCTGTGGACTGATACCATGGTGGCTGTGGACTGATACCGTGGTGGCTGTGGACTGATGGGGGTGCGCATGGGCTGGCGGGTGCGATGGTTGTCATCGGCGGACGGTGGAGGATAGAGTTTGATATTCTTAAGGGCAACACAATTGGGGCTCGCTGGCCACCGACGGCGTCGCTGGTGATTGACGATGAGGTGCTGGCATGTCTGTGCTTGCCGGACGGTGCTCATATTCACGAGGAGGACAAGACCATGTTCTTGATTCATCCGACGCCTCCTGACTCTGCCGCTGCTCCGCTGCCGTCGGTTGTCCACTCGGTGCGGGTCTCGTCGCAGACGCCGCTCTTTGCCACCTCGGTCTTTATCAACATAGCTGACGAGAGCGTGGACCGCGGCGCCATCCAGCTGTCGATGGTGGCGGTGGCGCGATGCCCACTGTTTGCCGAGTTTGGTGGCATCCTGCGCCACGCGGTCGCGCTGGCTGCCGACCTGATGCGCGGCCGCGACGTCGGCCTTGACGGTATCCACTCACGCCAGGACGTGCTCGCCGCTGTCTACCGCGAGCTCAATCGTGCGCTGCAGCGCGAGCTTCAGGTCAGCGTGCTCGGCAAGACCTTCCATATCGGGACGTTGCTCGATGGAGGCAGCGCGAGTGGCAACTCGCTGCCTCTCAGCACGGCTTCCAGGGAGTCAAATGCCGAGCCCGTCCATCTCGACGAGACGCTGAGCGCCATCGCAGCGTCGGCAGACGGTGGCTCGGCGCCTGCGACGCCCGAGCCCGAGTGGCCGGTCGCTTCGTACACAGGGATCTCGCTCTCGGCGCTAGTTCGCGCATTTGGTCCGGACACCATGGTCCTGTGGTACGCGCTCCTGCTCCGGCGGCGGGTGCTGTTTACGGGCCAGCCGGCGCAGGCGGTGTGCAATCTGGTCCTTGCGGCGCCGCTGCTGGTTGCACCGCTCGAGTCGCTTGCGTCGCGGCTTGCGCCGTATGTCTGTCTGCAGGATACAACGCCGCTGGATGTTGCCGGCGGCGTGTGCGGGTCGACCAACCTCCTGTTTGCTACCCGAGAAGAGTGGTACGACGTCCACGGCTCGCTAACAACCGGCTCGGTTGCATGCTCGTCAGCGTCGAGCCTCAGCGCCATCAAGCCGGGCTCAGGCGATCGCAAGTTCATCAAGAACGTCCTCGCCGGCCTCTCCGAGTCGCGGTCCGAGGCCTGGATCCGAGTCCAGTTTGCAAATCACACCCGTGCGTTCCTGGCAGGCGTCGAGGCCGACACTCTCCGTGGAACGCAAGCCAAGTATCTCTCGAGCTTTGTCTCAGATGAGCTGTATCGGGCGTACCTGGTGCAGGAGGCCCGCCGGGCAGCGGTGGCCGAAGCAAACGGCAGCGCAAGCGAGGCGGCGGTGTCCGTGGCTGACATTCGGGCGCTGGTGGCAACGCTGGCCAAAGGCGATGCCGACGTGGCACCCGTCCGACTGCAGCACATGCTGTTTGAGCTCGACAAAGTGCTCTCGGACGTGCTGCACCTCGAGGAAGTGGTGCGGCTCGGCGGCGTGTCTGCCGTCACCCCGTTCCTTTCTCACGGCTCGGCGCAGGTGCGCAAGTACGCGGTCTCGGTCCTAGGCAAGCTTGCGGTCTCACTGCCTGGTCAGCTTGCGTTGCTGCAGCTTGACGCCGTGGGCGACGTCCTTGCGCTTGTCGACGACTCGCGGGCCAACGTGGCGGACGCGGCGGCCAAGTGCGTGCTGCGGATGGCGCAACTGTTTGTGGGCGCGCAAGCTCTTGTCCGCGCCTCGACGCTTGACATCTGCACCCGCCTAGTGCTCGCCAAGAAGACGCCGCTGACGGTGCGGACGTCGGCAGCGCGGGTCCTGCTCGAGATCTACGAGCAGGTGCCTGGCGTGCCGGTGCCTGCGGAGGAAGTCATCAAGGCATTCCACTTGCAGCTCTACCTCGAGTCGCCGGAGCTCAAGGTTGCGCTCTACCTGCTGCTAGATATGTGGGGCGCGTCGCTGCCGGCGTTGCCATGGACCGAGCGAGTCAACCGGTTCCTCAACGCGCTGTGTGTCGAGGATCAGCTGACAAGGACGGATGCCTCGTGCCACATCCTGGCGCAGCTCGGCGAGAGGCGCGAGCTCGCGCTCGAGTTTGTGGCACGCGGCGGCATCGAAGTTGTGCTCCAGAACCTGCGTCCTGTCGTCAACATTGACATTCTTGTCACCGCCTCGTTTTGCCTCCTCACCCGGCTGGCAGCGACCGCCCTTGGGCGCCGCCGCATGCTGCACCTGCTCATTGTGCCCAAGGCGACGACCGCCCTTGGCGAGGTCAATCCCGCCCTCGCCTTTGTCGCCGCCGAACTGCTGGAAACGCTCTCGCAGTTTGAGGAGACTGCCGAACTCGTGGTAGCCGATGGCGGGCTAGAGGCGCTCGCTGCCGCTGTTGTCCGCGCCCTCGCCGATCCGCACGTCCGCGCCCTCGCGCTTCCGGCCCTCACTGCGCTCCGCAACATCGCACTCTTTGTCCCGTCAGCTCACCCGCTGCTCGCGGAGCACACCGCCGGCCAGGGCTTTGAGCTCGGGCGTGCTGGCGACAACAAGCAACTCGACGCCCAGGTCAGCGACATCCTTGCATCCGTCTGCGCCCTCGTCGACGCTGGGCCTACGCCAGCGCCCGACCTTCGGCGCAGCCTCGTCCGCCGTATCCTTCTCGACAAGGCCAAGACCGTCAACTGAGCGAGCTCTTCGTCACATAAAGGACAGGCGGGCTACGGATTGTCTGCTTTCATTCCAAGAGTGGGCAACGGGGCTTAGCCGCGGGCCACGCGGCCAACAAAGTGCATGATGAGGACGCTGGCCACAAAAATGGCGCAGCCCATGACGACAAACGCCGGTGTAACCTTGAACCCGTTCGAGTCGTCACCAGGGCGCGAGAACGAGTAGCCGGTGGAGCCGCCATCGCGGCGGCTGTGTTGTCGGAGAAGGCGAGGAAGGAGGGTGAGGTAGGGGGGGGGGGGGGGGGGAACAGGACATCAACAAGGAGGTGGACTGTCGGGCGAGGCAAACGTTGATCACAACCAGCACCTGCGCCACGGTCACAGCCAGCGAGCGCGGGCCACAGTCACGGCCACAGTCACAGCCACAGTCACGGCCAAAGTCACGACCACAGTCGCAGCCACAGCCACAGCCAGCGCGGGCGGAAGCCAACGAGCACAAACCACAGCCAAACGAGACACCGATGCAGCCACAGGCACCGGCGACCTCCCCAGCAGGACCATGACCACCTTGTACACCTTGACAAATACCATAGATGCAGAGTATATAAGGATTATGTGTGACGGGCGTGTGCATGGCGGGCGTGTGCATGGCGGGCATGTGTATGGCGGGCGGGGGTGTGGCGGGCGGGGGTGTGGCAGGGCATGAACGTAGGTACGCATGTACGCATGAACGTATATCCCGTATGTCCCGTATGTTCCGTATGTCCCGTATGTTCCGTATGTTCCGTATGTCCCGTATGTCCCGTATGTCCCGTATGTCCCGTATGTCCCGTATGTCCCGTATGTTCGCATGTATGCCTTTGGTCAACGAGTGCCAGAGGCAATGGCGAGCTGCTGGCCAACCACCACAGCCGCGAGAGAGCGACAAACAAACAAAATGACTCACAAACCACCACCACAAGGGGAGACAGCCAAGCCAGGGAGGAGGTGGTGGTGGACGTAGGTGGGAGAGACCAGGCGCAGAAAAAGTAGAAGGGGATGAAGGGGGGAGGGAGGGAGGGAGGGAGGGAGGGGGAGGGGGAAGTGGGGGGGGGGGGGGGGAGAGAGGGGGAATGGGGAAGGGGGAGGACGTACCGGCGTGCGCGGGAGGAAGCCTTGCCAGACTGGAGGTAGGGGGGGAGGGGGAGGAGGGGGGAGGGGTGAGTGGTTGGGACGGTGGAGGGGGGGGGGAGGGAGGGGGGGTTAAGGGGTGTATGGGAGAGTATGTGTATGCGTATGCGTACCATTGTTGTGTGAGAGTGAGGTACGTGGGAGGGTTGGGCTTGGTGGTGGGTGGTGGTGGTTGACTCACAGGTCAATGGTGGGTGAGGGAGGGTGCGACCGAGTGTCTTGACAATGGTCGTTCATTCGTTTTCGGATGGTCCTCAGGCCGAGGGGGGGGTA